AAAACAATAAAATGTAGCTTTCAAATTAAATTGAGAAATTAAGTTATATTTTCACTGCATGAATATTAGAGACATAATTAATAAATGTTGTACATTATTTATTTATTTAGGCCTAACTTTGTGTTCATATTTAGCCATGGTGGGCTTATTAAAGCTATTAAAGCAGTTGTTGCTGTTGTTTTTTTCTTATCAACTTACTACTTCTTATCAACATATTTTCTTACTCAGTACTAACAATACCGTGGGAAGTCTGGTAAAGTTACAATATTTAATTTTTAATTTTATGTTAGTATCGACTTACTAGTACGAACTAGTACTTTGTATGCATTTATATTAATCTCTGTTTGATGCAGAAGAAAAGAAATGGAGAAAGAAAACAGATAAAAGGCTAGAGAACGTCTCGGTTACGTATGGTAACCCTCGTTCCCTGAAGGAGGGAACAGCAAGGAGAAAATAATAGGAAGATGCAGAGAGAGAGAGAGAGAGAGAGAAGACAGAGAGGGACTTTAAAGTCGGCAGCAGAAGCTTCAATTCAATAAAGACTGGAGCTGTGTTGTAAGAAAATGAAAAGTCTTGTAGGGAGTCATTAGACAATGTGTGGTTTCTGGCATTGACACAATGCGACAGGGAGATGCCAGCCCAGCAGTAATAAAGTGAGTCTGTGTGTTTGCGAGAGAAAGTGTGTGAGGTAAGCGTGTTCTTTCTATCTCTTTCTAAGATTAAACCTTTTTTTTTTTCTTTGTATCATTTCATATTTGTTTGGTAATATTTGTTTTGCAGTAGTTCAGGGTTATAGCAAAACAGAATATATATATACGCTTATTAATTATTTATTAGCTTATTTATTAGATTAGTTTTGTTTAGTTCTTCAACAGAACTTATCCTCCCCCCACCTTTTGCTGGCACTGTACATATTCTGAATATACACAGATTATATATAAGGTTTGCTCTTTGTTTTGGTCTATACCACATTATATTTTAGCTTTTTGATTGCAAATTCACCTAATAGTTCGTGCAATTCATTTGCTACTTCATTAGTTCATTCTCTATGGATCATTGCTTCATTTCCTAAATCTTTTAGAGTTTTGTTCTGGGAAAATAGTCACGCTTTGTCAGTGTATAGGCAATTTAATAAAAAATACTAATCATCATTATCATCATAATACACATTTTTAACAATCTCATATATAATAATAATCTGTGACAAACATAATTTAATAATTTATTATCGATAACTAACAATTTGTAGGTTATATATAATTTCAAATGAAATAGGTCTCACATGTTCATTTAATCAATTAATATCAGTTTTATCAATGTTTTATTATCATTTTGCAGTTATACTAGTTGCCATCTATGTTCACATTTCAAACTTTTATTTCTAATCTTAGATGTTTCTTTCCCAATTTGATGAATTTCCAGAAATGTTTATCTTTAAAATTGTGCGGACTCTGGTTTCTGGGATTCCTAGTTGCGGCGATTACAGTTGCAACTGTGCATAGCAGTTCAAGCTCCTGTGCCCTCCTTCAATTAGACCTAATGTCAACAGCTCACTGTAGCTGGCTGCCAGAGTTCCCTCATTTTGAAGAGCCATGGGAGTGGGTGAAATCCACACTTCTCTCCAAGAACCCCCAAGCTGTCCTCAGCCTGAATGAGGACTTTGGAGTCCTGCAGGTTAGAGAGCTGGAGCTCATTTCAAGACATCTCTACTTGGACAGTATAGTTGGCAGCCTTCTGACACAGATATAGCCACCCACACACTCATACGATCAGTTATTTACCGCCAAAGTTCAGTCCCGGAAGCAGGCAGTAATAATAAGCGGCACTGCAGGTGCAGCGGTCTGAACGGGGGGAAATAAATGAGTGTTTATCCTCCCCATTCCTGCCGCTGAGGGACAGCTGAAAGTTATCAGCTTTCCAGAGCTCTCCACAAACTGTCAAGAGTTGTAGTCAGAGCATGGGTTAAAGTACTGTTTCACTTAAAAATGAAAATTCTGTCTTAATTTTTTTACCTTCATGTTGTTCCTAAGCCATATAACATTCTTTATTTTGTAAAAACACAAAAGACAGTATTTTTGAATAATGTTTCAGCTGTTTTTATCCATATAATGAAAGTCAGTGGGGTTCAGAACAACTTTGGAGGCCATTCATTAAATGAAAAAAGATGAGCGAGTTTCTTCCATCATGTGTGCGGTGACCTTCGAGAAGTTGTTAATTCCTCATCTTTCACGAATCACATGCTCCTCTTCGTCAGCTGTTATGCATGTGAAAAACGTAGACTGCTCATCTCTTACTTTAGCATGTTACATTGTGTCAGTGTTATTGATATATGTTGCACTAGAAGCCCAGAACAATTTTCCTCAGCAATCCTATAGATTAATGATTGTGCAGTTGCTTGGTGACTAGCAGGACAGCCCGTAATATACCACAGATTGTCAGTGGATTTCATTGGAGGGATGCAGGGCATCTCATACTGTGTGTGCATATTTGGTTTGCTGTACACACAAAGTGTTGAGTGTCTCTCCGTATGCTTGTCTTGAGTAAATTACCTCAGGTTTTGGCCAGAATTGACATTTAGAATCACAAATGTCTCTACTTTACTACAAGCCTTGTGGAAGAGATCTTCACACCACTCCAAACAGGCTTCAAACCAGCATCATCATGGCATGGGAGGCAGGTGTGCTAACAAGGATGCAAAAGACCAGAGCGTCAGTTTCTTGTGTGCCTTTCTTGAGACTGTGAGGGTAAGGTTTACCTACACAGGTCCTATCTGGCCTCCGTGACACTCACCCACCTAACCCTTTACGGCACCAATGTCATGGCAGCAATGTAACTGGTCCTACTCTCTCTGCTCCAAGGGGTATTGGAGGCGGGTGCACTAATAAGGATGCTAAGGTCCACAGCGTCATTTTCTAGTGTGCCTCTTGAGTTACAGAGAGAAAGGTTTGCCTGCAAAGGACTCATCTGGCCTCCATTACACTCCACCAAGCCCCCCCCCCCCCCC